CTTTGGAGGCACCAGGAAGATCTGCTTCTACTCTCCCTCCTCCTCCTTCCTCTCCCTCATCATCATCATCGCCATCATTTATTATGCACTTACTAGGTGTCCAGCACTAAGGTTTTCTGTATATTTAAGCCTCACAACAATTCTATGAGTAGCTTCCATCAACTCATTTTTCAGATGATGAGGTGTCTGTCTCAAGGTCACATAAGGAAGAGCAAAGTCTGGGTGAAACACTCATCTATTTAACTCCAGAGAATGTGTTCTTAACTACAAAGCTAAACTATTGCCTTAAAAGATTTCCAATGGGGCTTAGGATCATGGAACAATGGCCCAAATGTGTGGATCTAAGATAAGCCTGTATTTACATAAGACCATGGGGTATAAAGATTTAGAGATGCTTAATCTGGGGTCCATAGACTCCTGAGTGTCTAAAAATAGATTTTGGAGGGTTTGTAATCCCCTAAAACAGGAGTCAGCATTCTTTTTTTATTAAAGCACCAGAGAGTTAACTTTTTTAGGCTTTGCAGGTTGTATGGTCTCTGACACACTCATCTTTGCTGTGGTTGTATAGAAACAGCCACTGACAATACACAAATGAATGGGCAAGGCTGTGATCCAATAAAACTTTATTTACAAGAGTAGGCTCTAAAATGGTATGCAAATTCTATGTGGGTGCATGAATAGTTCTCTTTATTGTTGCTGCTATTAGCTCCATAGTTTTCTCCAGATTCTCAAGTGGATTCAAAATCCAACATGGCTAAGAACTGGTCAAAATGGTCTCTAAAACCTCTAAACCTTGATTTCCAGGATTCTGTGGTTCTACAGGCCTTGCAAATTAACACTCTCCTAGACAGTCTTTCTCTTTAGCAGGTCCATTTGATGAATTCGCTATGAAATCTTGGGCTATAATGGCTATCTGTTGAGAAGGAAATATAAGACACATTACCACTCCTTTCTTCCCTGGCTTACCGGGTCAGATGAGAGTGGCTGAGACACAAGCACATTCTAGCCTAGAATACTGCATGAGCAAGCCTGAGGTTCACTGAAGCTTTTTCCTCTTCCCACTTTCTGTGTCCCATTAAGCCTTCTCCACAGAAAGAACCCATTTGTCCTGCTAGGAAGTTCGGATTCCTGGAGTCAGCCAGGTGTGCCCAGGCTGGGTGTGGAGAGGTGTGTTTGCCTGATGCATCTCTGCATCTGTTCAGGGCCCCTCTCCTAAAGAAACAGGGGTCTTTCTCTGAAGATTCCCCAGCTTTACGAGTTAGAGCGTCTAATTTATTGCCTGCCATGACACCGACATGAACCTTGACCCTGCCTTCCACTTCATGTGACTTGTCTTCCTCTGTCCAGAGCCTTTAGCTGGAGATTGCTGATATTCCCTGTGCCAGCACAGAGCCTGATCCCATGCTTTGCATGTGTTTTTTAGGTTATCAGCACTGAGATCCCTGACATCCACAGCCAGTATTAAATTCTTGCATCACTTCTGAAAATCAAAATAATGATTATATGGGCCACTTGAATCAAATACAGAATCAACTGCTTTAAAATTTTAGAGAGAAAAAAAAGATATATTAAAATAAGATAAAACAAATGATATGAATCATAATGTGATTGCATTTATAGTGCAGGTTTCTGAGAATGGAGAATTGGGCATAGGGGAAGAAGCAGGAGAAAAAATAAAAGAGGAGAAAGAAATGACAGAGGAGAATGAAACAAAATGAATGAAAAAACAAAAAAAGAAACGATGAATGTATTCTGTAGCTAACCTATTACTTTCGGTTGATATTCAGTGTCATTGTGATGCAGCTATTTCTCACAGCAAGAACCCCCCAAAGAAGGAAATAAACCAGCAAATGAAATAACAGAATACAAATTATTGGAGACTTTACTCCGTATTAGATTCCTGCATATACCACATCGGGATTGGCATTACCTCTGAAATGAAACATCAATAACAGGACCACACAGTGCTGACTGTAATGCCAACTAATATTTCAGTTCAGGTTTAATTATCAAGTTCATATGGCAGCAACATGGTGCCACGTAAATAGAAGTGGTCATAGAAGGCTTGGGTCTTGTCCTGGTATCTCATTATGTGACCTTGGTTGGCCAATCTCCATGCCTCAGTTTCTTTTACTAATATATATATATATATATATAATTGACGTCAGAGAGAAAGGGAGAAGGGAAAGAGAGAAACATCAACAATGAGAGAGAATCATTGATTGGCTGCCTCCTGCATGTCCCCTACTGCAGTGTTTTTCAACCTTTTTTGGGCAAAGGCACACTTGTTTCATGAAAAAAATCACGAGGCACACCACCATTAGAAAATGTTAAAAAATTTAACTCTGTGCCTATATTGACTATATATAAACTAATTCTCTTGAATAGGAATCAAATAAACACAAAGAAAGTATTTTATAATTACTTTATTATGAAATATTAAGTAAACAAAATAGTGAAAAATTATAAAATTCTTGTCTTGTCTGCACCTACGGCACACCAGGCAACATAGTGTGCCGCGGAACAGTGGTTGAAAAACGCTGCCCTACTGGAAATCAAGCCTGCATGTGCCCTTGACAGGAACTGAACCCGGGACCCTTCAGTTCACAGGTTGACATTCTATCCACTGAGCCAAACTGGTTAGGGCATGCCTCAGTTTCCTCATCTGTCAAAGGTGAATAAGAATTCTTTGCATATTTCACAAGGGTGTTAGAAGGATGAAAAGTGGATATATTGTATATTCATTCTATACATACTTGGATGAGTAGAAAATACTAGATAAATGTAAAAAGGACTTTGTTCTTTTTACTTAACATAGTAATGGGTGGGTGCGGGGTAGGGATGGGGTGGGGATGATGGCATTTTGCACAGAAAGCTTGGTGACTAGTGAAGTGTCTTCCTCCCTCCCCCACTTGTCCTAGGATTATTACTGCTTTCTTAGTGCTTTTAGACATGCTTCTCCTCTTCAGAAATGCCAAAGGTGAGAAATACTATTCCTCTGCTATAATTTGTCACCCTTGCTGCCTGAGCAAAACGTGCATAGACAGTTTGGTAATTAAGCCTTTCAACACCGCATCATAACAGTTTTATCCCAGCAAAGACTATATTTATCAGCTAACAAGTATTAAATCACCTCACTGCTCAAGCCATTTCTGTCTTGAATATGCTCCTTTCAAAAAGAGAGCGGCTTTCCTTGGCTGACATGATTAATAAACGTTCTTGTTTGGAAATGTCGTGGTGCAGTGTGGTCCTGTGGGGCTGACAAACATACACCTTGGCAACTGTTCCAAACGGTGCTGACCCCTCTTTACAAGGGGAGCCCGATACCTCAGCCCTGGGTCTCTCAGGGTGACCAGGCCACCTGAGTTCACGGCCGGCTGGGATGGTTTCCAGCACAGGATCACCCCATATCCATTTCATTTCTGCGGGGCTAGGGGGGTGAATGAAAACGAAGAACAAACATTTGATACATTTTTTTTCTTCCTTACCTGGGCATCAGGGAATTGGCCTGCTCCTATCAGAGATAGATATAAATGTAAAACGAGTTTTCAAAATGATTGAAATAGCAAAGCAACAATGTTCTACATACAGAATTCTTAGGGAAACACAGAATGAATAGATATTGAAAGTCATCAGGAATGGCTTAGGAGAGTTCTGTCCTTATGTATCCCATCCTACCTTTACAAATTGTTTTGTTTTTCTCTTCTTTGGAGGATATACATTCATGAGACAAATATATCCTTGTTCTTAAAGCTTCAGAATGCTTTCAGTCAAATGGCTCCAAAATAAAATAGTTAATACATTTGAATGGCTTTTCTACCACACTTTAAGGATAAAGCTCAAATAAAGACAATGTTAACCAAATATGGGCCCAAATGATGAAAGAAGTCTCAATATTTTCATCATAGCATAGCAGAGATCACATTAATTTTCCTTTTTTCTTTCTCTGCTTTCAAAAATAAGTGACAAGTGACATTAGCTACATGGAGGCATTTCTGTTTCTCATCAGTTGATTGCTAAAAGGGCACATGTAATCATATTCCATAGGATCACAAAACCCACTTTGTAGCTATATAAGCAAGTTATGACCAGGACTGTGCATGTGTATGTATGATTAGTGGGCATGCAAGTGTGAAACTGTGGGTTACCACCAAGATAAAAAGTCTTTCATTGAACTATTCTTAGTTTGAATTTCTTTCCTTTCAAAATCATAAAATAAAACCCGCCATTTTGCTTTTCAAATTAGCAATAAGTCGCTTATTTGGAAGGCTGGGGATTAATTTCTCTCTAGCCAGCAGGTCACTGGGTTGTCACTGAAGCATGTGACAGCCATTAAGTTGGCAAATATTGAACTATTTGAAGTGCATCTATTTTTTGGTTCAGTACATTTTTTTTTTGGTTGCATTAAATTCATTTGGTTGCATTAAACTTCACCCAGTCTAAATGCCACAGCACATACTGGATCATACATACAAGTAACAAACAGCAGCAGCTGTAAGAGATAACAAAAGATAAAGATCAATATATTTTATCTATCGTAACAAGATTGGAGTTTTTAAGGTTACAAAGTACTGTGTGACTTGGAAAGTCAAGTTGAATCTGGTTATTTTCTGAAAATTTGAAGAGAGGTTACTTTGTTAGTCAAGTTGCCCTCCAAACTGCAATCCTAGAGACAAGGACATCTCTGACCTACAATTCAAGATCATTTAATAACTTGGGAGAGAAACGAGAAAAAGAATTACACTCTGTTATTCAGTTTGGAGGGATCTTAAAGTTCAGCAGTTTGCAAAAATATTGAATCAAGGGCATACTTGAAGATTAAAAATGAGCCTTTGGAAATAGTTATTCTTTATTTAGAAACAAAAATTTCAAAATAAAATAATAAAGGTTTGGGAACATGAACTATTACTTTAATTTGACAAAAATTTTTTGGGGTTGTTTAGCCCTACTTTTCTTCCATATAGGGATAGTCATGGCAACTCAGAAAGGTGACAAAGGTATAAGGTCCAAGGAATTTTTATTCTAGTATGGATTGTAACTATCAATATTACAAAATAGATTTTTTTTTAATTCCATATGAAAAAATGACAAGTGAAGAACAATTTTTTTCCAGTAATTTCTCTGAACAAAACAGAAAACAAAACAACCAGTAACTAAAAATTATGAAAACAAAAACCCAAAGTACATGTACTAGTAGATAATAAGAATACATATGTACTAAATAGACTAACTGGGTTGATGACTTCCCAAATTCTATAAATATCTAGTCACTATGCTGGCCAACTGAAACTAACATACCATTGGGTGTCAAGTATAACTGAAAAATTAAAAGAAAGAATACAGGTACTAAATGTGTTTCTTTAAAACTTCCAGAACAAACAGGGCAGAAGCGACGCAGCCATCAAAATTGGAATGAGTGAATCCATCCCCTCCACACACAAGGAGAGGTTTCCGATGAAGAGTCATTTGGCCAGGAGAGTTGGCAGCAGGATTTGTAACCTGGGAAAAGAAAAAGTGGGGTGGGGGGTGGTAATTGCAATTGATATTCTGTGCTCTGTTGTGCTATCCTGTCAACACCCACCTGGGGAAGGCTTCTCCATCTGGAGAAATAGAGATGTCTCAAAGGAGCAACAGGAAACAAAACCAAGACCCCTATGCTTCCCCTTCATCCAAGTGTTTACAGTGACATTCTTACATGTTTGCATTTTCAATTATTTGATAAGATAATCAGAAGTTCGTTGAACTTCAATATTAATATCTCTTGATATGCCAAATTAGTTTTTTTTTTAAGAAGGAAATGATATTCACAGAATCATTCACTGATTATCAAGTTGACAAATAAAATTGGAATATATTTATGGTGCACAACTAGATGTTTTGATATGCATAGACACTGAAATAATCACCATAATCAAGCTAATTAGCATATCCATCATCTCACTTTTTTTGTTATTTTGTTTTATGGCACACTTTATGATCCATGCTCTTAGCAGATTTCAAGTACACAATACAGTATTGTTAACTCTAGTCAGATTAGACCTCCAGGACTGTCATCTTATAACTGTAACTGTACCCTTTGACTAACATGCCCCCATTTTCCCCCCTACCAGGTCCTAGCAATCACCATTCTACTCTCTGTTTCTATGAGCTTGACTCTTTTAGATTCCATTTATACGTGAAATTATGCTGTAGTATTTAGTATTTGGCAATTCCAGAGCCAATAATCTTGAAATCAGCAGAAGAGATTGTTGAGTGGCTAATAGAGATAGGCACCAGAGGACAGGCTCAGACACTTGGTCAGAGATTTTATTCTCCTGCTTTGGATGGAATTTTAACAAGTCAGATGATTTGATTTGTCAGTGAAGCACAAAGGGAGGAAGAACACTGTTAGGTTTTTATATAAATTAGCAATTTCAGAATGTGACAACTGATAGTCCAGGGACATTTAGTGAAGGAACAAATAACTCTCTGGGTCCTAATAGGACCCAAGGGTGCCAGCTTATTAATTTTCCTGTAATCATTAATGTTCATGACAATCATCTCAATATTCAAGACTCCATTCTGATGTGCACAAAGTATTCATTGTTAGCTCTGCTTGAATGTTCACAGATACCAAATGCTTTACATGCACACCCCATTGAATTCACACAGCAACCCTATTAGGTGGTTACACTTATTCTCATTTTATAGATGAGAAAATTGAGACTCAGAAAGATAGTTGCTTGTTCAAGGACAGAAAGCTAAGAGGTGAAGAAAAAGGAATTCAAACAAAGCAGGCTAAGTCTAGAACTCACATTTCTAACACTTTTGGAAATATTTCCATAAAGACTAAATTTTAAATGTCCATATTAGCCCTGGATAGTGCTGTTCAAGGGTTAGAGCATCAACACACATACTGAAGGATGATAGATTTGATCCTGGGCTCAGGCCTGGGTGCCTATAGAAGGCAACCCATCCATGTGTCTCTCTTACATTGATGTCCTTCTCTCTCTCTCTCTCCCCACTTCAACTCTTTAAAAATCAAGGGGAATAATATCTTCAGGTGAAGATTAACAAAAAAATAAAATGTCCATTACTACTCAAAGCAATTTATAGATTCTCCACAACTCCTATCAAAGTACTAATGGTATATTTCACAGTGTGATAGTATAATTTACAATACATATTAGGTTATTCAGATGATCAACATTTATTTTCCATATATATCAGGTCTTGCCCACAATTCCTGACTCACAGCTCCCAAAACCCCTGGAATTTCTTAAGTGTTGAGAGTGATAGTTGCCCTTTGTTATGTTAATGAAGTGACTTTTGGAAAGTCAAAAAATTAAGGATGGGGGCTGGTGCCAGTGGAGCCAACCCTGTGATTATAGAGGACAGGGTCTGAAGATGGAGTTCTATCATTAGTCTTGTAGGACTAAACTCTTAACCTGTGCTACCTGATATTACCTCTGGGTAGATGTGTCAGAATTGAATTCTTGGATATCCTGCTGGTGTCTGAGAATTGCTTGTTGTCTTGGGACGGGGGGGGAACACCCCTCTCAATGTTGCAATTGGTACCAGGACTTATTTAGAGAGTTGCATAGGTTTGTGCATCTGAAAGATTCAGATAAATGAAGTAATGCATTCATATATATATATATATATATATATATATACATACACACATTTATAAACGTATCTATAATTTATAATTTATAATGTGTGTGTATATATATATATACAAACGTGTCTATGTATATATACACACACACACACACATTATAAACGTGTCTATATATGTGTGTGTGTGTGTGTGTGTGTGTGTGTCTATCTATGTATAATTTATACACTCACATATAAATCTCCATTTGTGGTCAAGTTTTGATACATTCCCGTTGATATCCCTCTATCGATAAGCCATGGCCCTATTAAATATTACACAAGTATTAAGGAGGAGGGGGTTTAAGGGGAAACGTTCTGTCCAGGAGTGAGTTGGTAATTTATCAGTGCTGTATAATTTCATCTGATGGGTGGTGAATACCACAGACCAGATCATGTGACTGGAATACTGGGCTACTGACTAGCCAGTCTGCATTTTGGATGAAATCAAACTTGCTGCATTTAGGTGGAATCACCCATTCTGCAATTACCCAATGAGGAAAATATGAAAACATGAAGTTTGTGTTGGCAAGCTCCTTCACCCAAGCGAAGTAGATAGCCCTGCAGTGATGGAGCACATAATTGTCAAAGCCACAATCTCTCACAACAACGCAGCCTTTGGCTATGTTTCCAGCCACAGTGAGGAACCACAGCTCAATGACTGTGTTTAAAAGAGACCCCTTCGAAATCCAGGTTGGATAAAAAGAGCCCTCCCTGCAGAAGCTCATGCTGCGGAAGCCTGCTGTGGGGTTGCTGACGTAACATTTCTATAAACTCAAGTGGTGATGGGACTGAACATAAAAATTCAGAGCAGAAAAAGAAGTTTTATTTCTAAACTATCGATACTTAAGCCCACTTCAATGTGTTTTGCAACTTCTCTCCACCTGTGGAATAAAATGCAAACTCCTTGGCCCCACATGGGCCGGCCTTTCATAACCAGACCTTACCTCCACTCAAACCTCATCTCTTGCCACTTCACTCACATGCCCCATCTACACTCAGACGAAGATTCTTCAAACATATCCTTCTTTGTTCTGTGATTTTGAATAAGCCATTCTGCTTGGGGATGTTGCATTGTTCCCTCCTTTTTGCCAATTAAATTGCTCATCCTTTAAGAGCCAATACAAATGTCACCTGCTCTGAGGTCTTCTTGCTCTTCCAGGCAGGGTAAGTGCCTTTTCAGCGCGTTATTTATATCCATTAGGTGACTTGCTATTTTGCCCTGTAATTATGTCCGTGACTGTCTTCCTTCCTAGACTGCATGCTTCTGAACGTAGGGACTATGATGCACTAATCTTTGTATGTAAAGCTGAGACTGGTAGCCAGCTCCTGTTAAGTGTACAATTTTTTTGTTTATTGAGTTAAAACACACACACACACACACACACACACACACACCACATAGAATATTATATACTAGAGGCCTGGTGCATAAAATTCATACACTCGGGGCATTTCATTATTCCAGCCTGCGCCCTCTCACAGTCTGGGAGTCCTTGGGAGATGTCTTAGGGAGAGTGGGCCTAAGCTGTCAATCGGATATCCTTAGCACTGCCGTGGAGGTGAGGGAGGATCCCACCCACTGCCACTGTGCTCGCCAGCCGTGAGCCCTGCTCACATGGGAGTGCACTCACCACTAGGGGCCAGCTCCTGCATTGGGTGTCAGTCCCTGGTGGTCAGTACATATGATGTGACCGTTCATTCTGCCATTTGGTCAATTTGCATATTAGCCTTTTATAAGATACAGTTGATCAAATGAAGGTTTTCACAGGGGACCATCTACAAAAAAAGTGTTATTCAGAGGCTCCCACAGAGCTGGTAGAAGCTTCAATGGGAGAGAGATTGTACTTAGAAAGCTCTCAAAAATGATGAATGGGGAGGTCTGTCTTCTTGTCTCTGATTGTGAAGTGCTTTGCATGAAAATCTTGTATGTTACCCATTAGGTTGCACCACACAAACTTCCTGATTCTGTAGGTCAGAAATGGTAAAATATTGTCAATTTTAATTTAATAGTTCTATGTATCATGATTATTAATTGTGAAAGTTCACACACACACACACAAAAGTTCCTTTTGGGTGAGAATGAACTTAAAGATGAAAAGAGGGATGCAGACAAGTAGGCTACTGGGTATTTTCAAAAAATGATAGTTGATAATTAGCAAAAAATTCAGTGACACACGACAATGGGTGTTCTTCCTTCCATACCTATGCCGACAGCTAAAGCATGCCCTTGGACTCTATACCCATAGAGACCAACCTTATTGGTTTGGTCTGTAGAAGGGCTGTATTTTAGGCTGACCATTTCTAGTGGGCCCTTGATTTGGTTACTTAGAACCAACCTTTCTGAAATATGGCACTAAGTGATGTTCAAGTGGATGAGGCAAGTATTAAGGTCTCATAAATTCTAATCCTACATGTGCCATTCACTTGAAGAGAGATCTTGGACAACCTAGGAACAAATCAGGTTCTTACAGCTGCATCTTCTCACTTGTTATGGATGTAAATTACACTACATTTCATTGAGTCTAAGAGAGAAAAAATGGTGCCAATGTGATCTAATGCTGTATTTTATATTATACTTATGAGAACTGTTCTTTTAAACTTATTTACATGTAAGTTTTTTGCAAACATAAAAAGGAAACAAAAGGGAATGCATTGACTAAGCCTTTCCAAAAACCTTTTCACAGATTTTGACTTTCCAGAGACACTCTTTATTTTTTTTTAAAAATATATTTTATTGATTTTGTACAGAGAGGAAGGGAGAGAGATAGAGAGCTAGAAACATCGATAAGAGAGAGTCATCAATCAGCTGCCTTTTGCACATGCCCTACTGGGGATGTGCCTGCAATCAAGGTACATGC